AGTCGATTTACTCCGGCCGTGCAGCGGTCATTTCGGTTAGGTCTGTGACGACAGCTTAACTACCAGCAACGGATAGATAGGGCTTCGGGCACCTATAACGCTGGTAGTCGTGGATTGTGTGAAGCCAACGGAGGCTAACCCGTTCGGTCGCCGGTGCTGTTTCAAAAGCCGTGGCTATACGGAGACGATGCAGGCAGCCCGGACGGACCTAGTTACCCAGCCCGGTTTCAAAGTTTAGATAAGCCCACCGCGGGCCGTGGTACGCTTAGTTTTCGTTTTCTTATAGGCAATTTGGCATAACTGGTAGTCATGGATTCGTGTAAAGCCGACGAACGACTAATCCCTTTCGGTCGCCGGGGGCTGGCCCGAAAACCGCGGCTATACGGAGACGACGCAGGCAGCCCGGACGGACCTTAGTTACCCAGCCCCGGTCTCAAAAAATAAGTCCCCCGCGGAAACCGGACTACACAGTGTCCTGCGAGCCGTAGTCTCGGAACCGCTGGCCGAAGGACATTTATGTTTTTTTTTTGTGTAGGTAGTTCGACATGGTGATGGGATGGACCGCAATAAGTCACGTAACGCGAGGGTCGAGTGCCGAAATCTGTGGTGGGTCGTATCTCTAATTGTGTAGCGTGAGCATTATGAAGCGTTTGTCTGATGTAGGTACGGAACATTGTGGTTATGAAGGGATAACGGTTAAATGAAATTCAAGGCCAATGACTCGATAACGACTTTGCGTGCGCCCTAGCACCACCGGGGGAAGTTAGGAAAAAGAGGGAGGGATCGGAGACGGCTAACTCTGATTATTTTGAGGTATGACTGGACGTATGACAGGAGTGAGAGGGGATGGACAAGTGAAAGTGTGATTGTCGTGTATATCCGGTGGGAGATAGCCCTCAGCTAGGACGGGTGCCGTTGTTAGGAGTTGGAATCTGTTAAGTAGAGTTAATTTCTTAATTCAATGTGATCAGGGACAAATTGACAATTGGTTATCACTTATCACTCATCCCATCCCTCAACCCTAGCCTATGTGTTTCCGATGATTGATCGCCCCGGAAAGATAGAGTCAGAGTCGGAACGGGTTCGCGAGGGGCTGGTTACAGAGAAGGGCTTCTAGGAGCGCACCGACGGAGCTCTCATCTCTCTCTCTCTCACTACCGAAAGACACTGCCCGGTTCGCCCCGCAACGCCGCGAAACCCCGCTACAGTATGCTCATTAGGCCGAAGCAGCGATTTCCGTGACGTCACTGGTACGAAGGGTCGGACGGCTGTAATGCAATCCTATGGAAAATGACCAAACTTTAGGGCTCTCCCACATAGCTGCCAACCTCGACACTAAGGTAAAAGTTATATCACATAAAAGCTCAAATCAAGACGAACAAGAAACCTATCTGACGTTTTTACGTATTACTAACGGCTTAGACTCTATTCAAGTATATTCAGAGCTCTGCATTACCTTACTTTTTTTGCCGTCAATGCACGGACGTATAAATAAACTGGACCCGCAACCACCTCCATTCAGGTGAAGCCGACAAGGCGCCATTTTACGTTGCCAAAAAACCGTGCTCTGGAAGGTCATCGAGCCAATACAATTAGAATTGCGTCCAAACGGATGATCGGATCGAGATGCTGGTGGGACCGTTCGACGGGTAATTCCTTGAGGCAGGTGATGATGGATGTCACATGTCACCCGGTGTCACATGGCGCGTGCCACGTGCCGACAAACTTACAAAGGGCAAAAACCTTTAAGCGACGCTTCAAATCAAACGAAGGGCGGCACAGGTGCCAAACTCACAGGTCACATGTCCCAGTGTTCGACCACTAACATATGGTATGCTCGGCATCAGGGGGTGCGGAATGCACGCGCTAGTGGCGAAAAACATGTTTTGAGGAGGCATCCTCCGATTCCGGAAAACCTTGACCTAGGCACACCAAATTTGGCACACTGACACTACTGGACACGCGCTTTAAGGTGGTGTACAAATAGGCGTGCTGGGGTACACGGTGCACGTGCTGTGCACGTGCAAACCTTTTGATGTTGCACTCTGTGTCACATATGCGGGTAGGGCGGGTAGCGCTAGCAAGCTCAAAGTGCCAAATTTACACAGGCCACCCAGAATGCATTCCAGCATAGTTATTGAGCATATCCATCTCCTGGTGGCCCCCAAAGGTGCGCTCTGCACGTGCAAAAAAATCATTCGCGCCGGGCGGTGGGGATGCTTGGACACCATATGTGGATTTATGTAAATATCTCCAAAACGGCGTTGTGTAGCGCCGCCGTTTTTGGCACACCTTTTCATACATCTTTTTCACACATGCTGCGTAACTTTCAGACTTAGGTCACTCAAGGTTAGGTCATCAGGTTACGTCCAAGTGACCTCACCTTAGGAAAAGTTATAGTGCCTGTCATAGCTACACAGACTGAACAATCGGTTTCAAACGTGCAGCGATTGATAAGAGCAACAGTATATACGTAGAGTACCTCTACCTCGGAATTTCAATCAGTGGCGGCGGAACACCTTCAATTAAAGGTGGGCACTGCCGACTTTTGGTCCCATTCTTTCCATGCATATGGGCGTTGCATGGAAAGGGCTATGTTAAAATGCCAAAATCAAAGGGGGGCACGGTGCCCCGGTGCCCCCTCGTTCCGCCGCCTATGATTTCAATATCACTTGCTTGCTCAATGCTCATTGCTCAGCTCGTATTGTAAGAGCACTGCGGCACAGCATAGATGCAGGCGCTTTGCTACTGCCATCTATGGATGAAAGATGAAGATAATGGTTATTGCGGTACAGTATAACTGGAGGCGCAAACAACGTAGATAACAAAGATGCCTATGCTGCGCTGGCCGGCGATTGAGGCGTAAATTTGCGTTGCTGGGTAGCAAAAAGTTCAGGAGCCCGAATTTGACAAAATAAATGATTTGTCGTGCTGCAGGTCTGATGTCACAAAATCAACAGAACCCTAGGTCAGTGATATTGAAATTTCGAGGTAGAGGTAGGTACTCTACGTATATACTGTTGATCTTATCAATTGCTGCACGTTTTAAGCCGATTGTATAGTCTGTGTAGCTATGACGGGCATTATAATTTTTCCTAAGGTAAGGCCACTTGGACGTAATCTGGTGACCTAACCTTGAGTGACCTGTCTGAAAGTTACGCAGCATGTGTGAAAAAGATGTATGAAAAGGTGTGCCGAAAACGGCGGCGCTACACAACGCCGTTTTCGAGATATTTACATAAATCCACATAGGGTGTCCGATCATCCCCACTGCCCGGCGCGGATAATTTTTTGCACGTGCAGAGCGCACCTTTGGGGGCCACCAGGAGATGGATATGCTCAGTAACTATGCTGGAATACATTCTGGGTGGCCTGTGTAAATTTGGCACTTTGAGCTTGCCAGCGCTACCCGCCCTACCCGCATATGTGACACCTGGAGTGCAACATCAAAAGGTTTGCACGTGCACAGCACGTGCACCGTGTACCCCAGCACGCCTATTTGTACAGCACCTTAAAGCGCGTGTCCAGTAGTGTCAGTGTGCCAAATTTGGTGTGCCTAGGTCAAGGTTTTCCGGAATCGGAGGATGCCTCCTCAAAACATGTTTTTCGCCACTAGCGCGTGCATTCCGCACCCCCTGATGCCGAGCATACCATATGTTAGTGGTCGAACACTGGGACATGTGACCTGTGAGTTTGGCACCTGTGCCGCCCTTCGTTTGATTTGAAGCGTCGCTTAAAGGTTTTTGCCCTTTGTAAGTTTGTCGGCACGTGGCACGCGCCATGTGACACCGGGTGACATGTGACATCCATCATCACCTGCCTCAAGGAATTACCCGTCGAACGGTCCCACCAGCATCTCGATCCGATCATCCGTTTGGACGCAATTCTAATTGTATTGGCTCGATGACCTTCCAGAGCACGGTTTTTTGGCAACGTAAAATGGCGCCTTGTCGGCTTCACTATCTTCCATAGGAGGTCCATTGGGATTGTCAGTCCAGTTTATTTATACGTCCGTGCGTCAATGCCACTACAAATGTCTAGTCGGCGCACGTGCGCTTGTCGAGCGGAGACCACCAGTCGGGCGATTCAGAGCTGCCGCCCAATCAGTACGCCGCAATGCTGTGACGTCATTGGTCGCACACGACACGTTACGGAGATAGGGATGAGACAGCCCTGGTACTCGTGCAAAAGGCCCAGTCAATGCGCAATTACAGGCTGCAGCGAAAAGGCGTCACTGGTTTCAGATAAACAATTCAGGGTATTCCTCGTCCCTGACACCATAGAAAATCCCAGGCTAAACGTGGCCATTACCGTCATACGAATGTCGGTGATGTGTAGCTGTTGCTTTCGTTAGCGGTTAGAGTTACCCAGCTGTCATCAACCTTGTAAGGCAGCTGGGCTGAATCACCGCCGGCTCCACGAATCGCCACAATTTTTGCTGCTTGTCAACTGAACGCATGGCTTAACAGATGGGCGTACGATATGTATGTCCGGGTATCATGAACGCTCATACGTTTTAGCCTGATCGGAAACGGAAAATGATGCGATCAGTAGCGAAGCGTCTGCGACTTTTATTCCCGAATCGTAACCATCGCCCCCCTATGCTGCGGCAGCCCCGAATCCCTGATTCCCGTTCACCATTTCCGTCAGCGATATGCTGCTATGCATGCTGGATGCCGGCTTGTCGGATGTGCAATGGCTTCGCTGACATTTGGTATTTACCTAGTTACAAGCCAGTAATTGTTTGGTTTTGGGATGATTATTCATTGCAAGCACTTTACCCTCAACCCCTGCACATCGATTCCTGTCAGTCTGCTCGTCTCGATCCATGGCCTCGCCAGTGCTCGCTGCTCATTTGACATGTTTCTGTTTATTTACCTATATGAATGTTCGTTTATTGATTAGCTATTTTATCCACCAGCCACCCCCGCGGCGTCCCGTGCAGCGTTTCATTTCCGGGTGTGCGGTCACTGAGGCCCTCTTCTCCATCCATCGGACAGGTCCGGAAGTAGCCCCGCATGGGCCCCGGTTGCACCACCGGAGCGGCTGCAACCTCTGCTGGCGGAAGTGCGCGGCGCGGCGCGGCGCGCGGGCGGCGCGGGTGATTTCTGCCGGCGCGGGGGGCGGCGCGCCGCTGCCGATGCCGCTGGCGCAGTCGGTCACCGGAGCGGTGTCAGTGAACGGGTTCAGTCTGTCGGCGGTGATCGGGCGGTGAACCAACCGAGTGGTGCAGTGACCGGGTGGTGCTGTGGTGCGCTGGTGCCGGTGTTGTGCCGCGGTGATGGCGCCGAGAGTGGTGCGGACTGCTGCCGTGCTGGTGCTGACCTGCTGGGTGGCGGCGGTGGCAGAGGAGCCGCCCGACGACCCGCCGCAGGTCGCCCAGCTGGAGCTCAGGAAGGGAATGTGAGTACAGTCTGCACGATTTAGCCTTCTCCAGTTTCTTCTCCTCGTTCTTTTTCTGTGCCTGCTTCCATCTTCATCTCTTTATCATTTTTGTTGGCTTTGCTTATTTATCCTTGTTTTCTTGCTCCTTCCTCTCTCTCTCTCTCTCTCTCTCTCTCTCTCTCTCTCTCTCTCTCTCTCTCTCTCTCTCTCTCTCTCTCTCTCCCTCTCTCTCTCTCCCTCTCTCTCTCTCCCTCTCTCTCTCTCTCCCTCTCTCTCTTTCTCTCTCTCTCTCTTCTTTCCTTCTTTATTCATCTTCCTGTTCTTACTGATCACGATTTGAAATTATTCAATCGTTCTTGCTGTTCCAATTCTGCCCGGCTTCTTTCCCTATCGATCTTATTTTGATCCGACCTGTCTTCTCTAGGCCAAACAGGCACGCACTTTTTGCATATCTTCGTGACAGTGAGGGTGCCATCGGTGTTTTCTTGACCTCGATCAGTGTCTCTCGTGACGGGCGGAGCGGCCGCCCAGCGCGGGCCCATGCGACCCGCCCGGTCCTTGGCTCCCACGCGGGGGACATGGCTGTCAGAGGGGCTGATCCCGTGCTGATTCCGCTTAGCAGTCGGCGACGGAGGGGAGGGTCGTAAAAGCTATCCACAGCTCTGTAGGTGTACTATACGGATTAAATCAGCTGTCAGAACACCTGTAGTAACGATACAGACACCGTCACCCGTCTGTCTACACAGTTCGTCAAAAAGACGGCAAAAAATATCGGTGTGTTGGACGGGCTAATGTCAGTTGCCCGTTCTGTCCCACTGGCAGGCTTCCTCACAACCAATACTCAGTCATTTATAGTTCGCTAACAGCGCCTGTTTGGACACGGTCCATCACGCGGCCACAGTCACAGTCGGCCCAGTCTGTACACCCTTACTCACCCACACAAACACAAACGCACGCACTCGGCCACACATACCCTCGCGCTCCGCCCTCGGCCGTCCACCCTCACTACACGCCGCCCATTGTGTGCTGGGCACACGTCTACCGCCAACAGCCGTGCACCCGCCGGCCGTGTGCACAGTGGGCGAGCGGCACGTGCGAACACTGGGGTGACCAAGCGGCACGCGCTCCCCTGTGTCACGGCTGCGGTGAGCTGCTAATTGTTTACGATACCTGTGTTATGTTGTGCGTGAGCGTGGCGAACGCTGCTAAGGTGCCGAGTCGCCCGGCACACACGTAAAACGCCAGGTGTGGTCCATAAGTTGATGTAACTGAGCCTTATTGTCAGGTATGTTGATGTCTATTGTGAAATTGTATTGGTTTGCCAAACAATGCATCTGTGTTGCATTGAAAATGATGCAACCAAACCTGGTTCAATGAGGGTCATTCTCGTCGTATCTTTGCCGTCAACAAAGGTACCTACTGCCATGTTTACAAACATAAAACATGGGTAGATATCATCGTTAAACATGCTAGCCGTATTGAAATATCATATCGAGACCCACCTAAGGTGAATCAATTTATCAACCTACGAGGGGGTATCGAAAAGTTCTGATCATCACCATGAATTAGATGTGATAGAAATTTGATTTCTTTACATAATGTTCATTACTCCTTTACAAGTCACCAGACACGACCGCAAACTTATTGCATGGTTTCTTCAGCTGCCTCAGGCGGTCATTGTAGGACCTTCGCACTGTCACGTAAATCACTGCTCCACCTCATCAATGACGTCCTTTCTGTCCTTAAAACACTGACCATAGTGTGGATTCTTCATCTCCTGTAACAATCAAGAGTCAATTAATACCTGGTCAGGTGCATTTGTTAGATGCGGTAGGATTTAATGTCCACATCATGTTGTTTCTTCAATCGCAGCTCAGGACGAATGGGCGGGGGCGCTGTCGGTGCGGATAAAACATCCTTCTTTGTTTTTTTTTTTTTGCGGCGATTCTGCTTGAGGCCATCTCGCAACTTCTTCAAAAGTGTGCACTAGTGCTTGCTTATCATTATCCGACCATCATCAAGACAGTCGGTAATGACTATCCTACGCCAGATCCAGAACACTGATAGCATTGACCTTCCATATCGGCTTCTGCATCTCCGCCTTTTAAGACGGACAGATGTGCCGTGCGTAAACTTCTTGATCATCTTTTTGTCTCTGGATCATACATATAGACCAAGCATTTGTTACAAGTCATCAAATGATCGAAGATCTCTTCAATTTCCTAAAAAAGGCCTAGTTTTCATTTCGAACGGCCAAGACGCATTTTTCTCTTGAACAAAGTAGACACACGAACTTCTAAGCGGGCTGCCTCCTTTATCGTCTGTAGTTCTTCGCTGATAATATTTTCAGGCACTGCTAGCATTGAAACCTTTCTGTTGCACAATCATCTGAAAGGTCACACGACGATCTGTAAGGATGAGGTCCTCCACTTCCTTCACAGTCACCACCTTGTCAGTCATTGGTAGTCACTCACTTCTTGACTCCCCTGCAAGGGCCATGCAACCAAGTTGAAAATTATTTCTTCATTTTCGGTAAGTGCATGAGATGGGCTTTCCTCGCCATAAACTAATTTCACGTTCCTGATGTATTTTCTCAGTAAGATACCGTTCCAAATGCATTAGTTGGATGACGGTTCGGTCCTCAATGGGCCCAATACTAATCTTTTTTACTTCTAAGTCTCTCCTACATAAGATAAAACCACTTCTCAGGATTCTCTTTTCGGGAACATTGTTCTTCAGAACCAAATATCATACCAACCAAAAACCATCAAAATCGGTCTATATCTTCTATGTGATGATCAGAACTTTTCGATACCCCCTCGTATTCCGTAAAAGATTGTGCCGCTGTTTTGCATCTTATTGAGCTGTTGCGTAAGCAGTTTTCGTAGCCTGGCTGATACGAAACACGGTTTGTTCTCAATGGTGACATGTAACTCTTCATTATTGCACCACGGGCATGCTGGTTCATGTTCTGTATGACAGCTCACATGTTTACATGTCGTCTCCCCCCCCCCCCGGACGATCCCGGACGACATAGCCTCCCCCTCCATCCGGGAGGACAGCGGTCGTGACTCGGGACTCCCGTTCCCCGGGTGCAGTTGCCGTCAGTTCCGGCTCGTTTCTGCGTAGGCGGTGTCTCGGACGCTATATTTGAGACGCTGAATTATCCTGAGAGATAGCTGTCGTTCCTCGCTCGCGGTTGTGACGTCGCCTTCCGGGGGCTAACCCAGCCTCCGTCGGGGTTTCCTCGGTCCTCGGTCCTCACCACGAGACGCGGCGTCACGGTGAACCCCGGGGCGCCCCCGCCTGAGGCACAGCCGCACCGTGTCCTCAGCGGTCACACCACCACACTGCGTCTGTCATGTGCTGGTGTCCCGCCTTGGTCCGACCATAATAGGCCATCTCACTGCGCGGCGGCTGAGCCGAGCCGCGGCCGACGGCGGCGACATGCAGACGAGAGGTGTCCGGTGATGAGCGAGCCATCCCGCTGATGAGTTACTGTTTGTCACTGTAGTGACAACAGACAGGGTGTATACTTGCTGCCGTGGGTGTATACTGCCTGTCGTAGCTAATGTCACTGAAGGACGGACCCATGAGCTTGGAGCGCAGTGGCCTCATGACCACTGCACTCACCGAGTAAATACCGATCTAGCGCTACATGTATATTGGGCTGCATAGAGTCGGACAGGAATGAGGCTCTGTGGGACTGGTTGTCTTCTGGTCTACTTGCCAGTTCGGCTGTTGGTGGTTTACTAGCCAGTCTGCCGGTCTGCTGGCCAGTCTGTGTATAGTCTGCTGTTGCCCAGTCTGTTAGTAGTCCGCTAGTCTGTGCTGGCCACTGGCCAGTCCAGTCGGCCCTCCGTTATGAAGTGCAGTCTCGGCACGGCCCCTGAGCGTGTGGCCCAGTCGTTACGGCCTCTCCCGGTGCTCGGTATTCATCACAGAGCCCCGGTCCGAACGTGATTTGCGGGATCACGGCCCATAGAACATGCCGCCATTTTTACCGCCGAGTCTTTTCGCCCTGACCTGAAAGCGAATCAGGCTGCAAAACTGCAATGAGAAAAATCGACTGGCGAGTGGGGTGCCATGCCATATGCCCTGTTATGCTTGTTTAGTATCTGTTCTTACCTTTAGGTACCCATAAACTTTCGATTTATAAAATTGATATTCAAGTCATGATTTGTGCCTACTGGCTAAGGTATTATTAGGATTGCTAGTTGGTATTATTGCTGTTGTTTGAGGTATTTGAGGTGAGGTATTGTTTAACGTATGTATTATTAGGATTGCTAATTCTTAGCCCGGACAACTTTATCGCATAACATATTTCGAGTCATTGCTTTGTGCTATTATTTTAAGAATGGTTTATAGGTATTGCACATGATTGCAATCAAACATTGAGAATATAACTCTGAACTGCATCGAGCTTAAACGCATGCACCTGACCACTTTGCAATTTCATTTCTTCTTTCTGCACTATGCAATATCTGTCAGCGCTGTGCAATTGTGACATGCTTTTACGATTTATTATTTCCCGTCTATAGTTAGCTGCCATGATCGGTAGCCGTTTGCCGTCCATCACCCGTGAGTCGGCCTCACCCCTCGTGTAATTGGGTGCCGTGCATGGCCGGGCTCATTGACCCCATGCAGTTGGAGTTTTGATTTAATGAAGCCCAACGTGCTGTGTTCGCCCACCGACGAACTCTGAGGGCGGGTGTTAGAGTATGCTGGGTAGCTGTCGTACATCTGTTGGTCGCTTGTTAAATTCTGAGGGCGTGCTGAACGGTGACCCCGCAGCTCGTGCAGAGGACCTCTGCGGCCGCCCCGGTCCTGTTTGGCCCCGGCCGGGCCAGTCGCCGAAGTCAGCCACCTGGGGCGGCGCCGGCCCCAGTCCCCCGCGGACTCGATTTGTTGACTCTGTCCCGCCGCGACGGCCCATATGGGCGAGTCGGCCTGATTATTTTCCGCCCACTCACGGCGCCCGGCGACTCACTGACTCGGGTGACTCGGTCAACAAAGTC